TTATTTGGCGCATATGAGTTTACTTTTCATAGAGTGTCTTTGCTTATTCTTTTGCAGGGTCTCAAAGGACATCCTGGACTCCCAGGACTTCGAGGTGAACAAGTAGGTACTTCCTTTATAAGACTTATATCATGTGTGAAAAAGACACATATTAGAGAACACCATTGAGAGATTATTTGCCCCCACTTTTTCAATTTTTCTTCGCAGTGATTTTTTACTCCGTTTAGTGCAGGACAACCTTTTAATTGATTAGCTGTAGACCTTTTTATTTAAAAAACTGTAACAGATATTATTTCACTGTTATTCATTTTTTGCTTTTGCCCCATATGTTTCAGACTAGTAGCTCTTAAACTTCTGCAGTTCGCAGACCTCTTTGAGAATCTCATAAATATTTTGAATCCTTTCCCAGAAAATATCCATGTCCATACACACACACACACACACACACACACACACAGAGACTTGACTTTTTTGTACAATTTCAGGAGCTTACCAGTTCACTAAAGCCCAATCCATAGCTGATTGTTCCCTGACCTTTTCCTGAGGAAATGCAAATAAATTTCAATAACAGTCCAAATTAGAATGGTACATATATCATTGTCCATAGTACACATACACAATATTTAAAAGTCAAAATAGTTTTGGAACTATTTAGTTTTTGATCATGTAACTGCTTCTCTCTCATCAGAAAATAACATATCATTATATCATAGAAAAAAATAAAGTCATATCTCTTATAGTGTTACTATATTGAAAATATAGTGTGACTATAACAGTGAAAAGGGTAAGATATTAGAAACTGACTATGATGATGGATACTGTTATTAAAGAATCAGCACAGAGACTCAGGAAGCCCTAAAGGGAGATCCAGGAAGAAATGTGATGGATGGTACCTGAAGGAAAGCTATAAATGAAGAAACAAAGCCAATTTTCCCTTTCATTCATGTTAAGTTAGACAGTATACTCTGTTCAGTCCCTGAAGCACAACTTTTCAAGATTACTAATTACTAGACATGGCAAGCAAAGTGATATATGTATCTGTAACACATGTAATATCAGTTTCCTGCAAATCAACATGTACTGAAAAGCATTTGAGCATTTACGAGAGAAAAAGATGAGAAGGGTGAGTGGGATTAGTCCCGGGGGAGAAAAAAATTTGTAGGATACTGCTTTGGCAGAAACGTGGATTCCAACAGAGGAAACCTGATACTTCACAAGTGGAAAATTGGCCATGTGTCGTTACTGACCAGTTCACTCACAAAACTGCTCCATAAACTAGTTGTGGTGGTGTATATATTATCTCTAAGGGTCATATACTTTTTAGAACAGTCTAAAACCAATTTTAAAGGTTGGAAAATGTATATTCTAGTCAGTTCTTGCTTTCTATTCTATTTGTTTCCAGAAAAAAAAAAAAGAGGCAAAATTTGTGTTAACTTTGAGAAACAGCTGAAATAATTTTGCATTTTAATTGCGAAGTGGGCTTCATCCCTGGGATGCAAGGCTGGTTCAACAT